TTCATGGTGGCAACAGCAGCAAAGTGCAACATCAGTTGACAGATGTGGAGCAGATCGCAAGCAACTTCAATGCTTTCGCTGCCATTAAGGCCGACGGCACGGTTGTATCATGGGGCTTCCCAGAGCGCGGTGGCGACAGCAGTGCCGTGCGAGATCAGCTCAAGAATGTGCGGGGTATCGCAGCCTCCGCTCTTGGTTTTGCTGCCGTTCTTGACAACGACCAAGTCGTGAGCTGGGGCGACTGGGTGGCGCGGCCCTTGACTCCACGGTGAGCCGTGCGGGCTGTGAATTCTTTGCTCTGGCTAGCTTCCACCGTTGCTTGCTTGCTTCGACGCTGTCTTGCGAAAGAGCAAGCAAGCAACAACGACGCCGCCACGAGAAGAAAATCGCTTGTTTGTTGTTTCTTCTGCTCGTGGCAGAATGACGCTGTCTTGCGAAAGTGCGGCTGCTTGGGCGGGGCAACCCTGCTCCTGAGGTTGCCTGCACTGCCCGGTCGCTTTGGATTCGTCGAGGCTGGGAAGGTCGGTCTAACAGAAACCTCTTCATTTCCTGAGTTTCCCACTGCGGACTGCTGGGCTTGGTTGGTTCAAGTTCAGAATTTCCGTTGTGTGGCCGAAAGGTCTTCGGGGTTCTGCTCAACCCGGTGTCCCGGTTTAGCTTCGTTGCCCACTGCTACTGTTTGGATTCTTGAATGATCCGTTCTTCCTCTTGAGAAGTCGCCATTGAGATGGCACACTTTGCAACCCTTCAGACGAGCTTAGCCAGCACCACTCCAAATGCGCGGCTTGTCTTGGCGGGACGGTGCCTGCGGCCTGTGCAAGCAACCTGCGAGTCCGTTGTGTTCGCCTAGGCAGCACTACTCCAAATGCGCGGCTTGTCCAACCCGCGAGTCCGTCGTGCTGGCCAAACGAGAAGCTGGCTCTTGACGTTCTGCCCTGCAGTCATCTTGGCTGCCTCGCCACAGAATGTGGCCGCTTGGAGGCTTGGACCTGCTCTGGTGGTATCAGCATGATGACAGCCGCGATGGCGCGGATGATGGTTCCTGTGGAGCGCCGCTAGCACAAGGGGTGGCACCGTCTGCAAGTCTCCACAGGGATTGGCCACCGTCGAGACGCGGGAGCTCCTCGATTGCTTGGCGCGTTAAATACTTTGCGGCATCTGGCGGGTTTCCTAGTGAAGTAGGGTGTTTCACTTCGGAACGGTGTTTTTACCAAATCCCTAATGACTGCACTGCCTTTCGCTGCTGGAATCCCGGCGCCACGGATCGCGCAGCAGCTCAGCGAGGTGGACCCGTTTGTGGTATAGGATAGATCTTAAATCCCCAATCATCCTTTGAGAGACCCGTGTTGTGACTGCCGCTTGGGAATGTTTGCCAGATGCCGCCGGGTTTCTTCTTCTGAGATAGTATACCTTGGGTTGATACACAGGGTGTCACCGAAGCCTGGGGCTCTCGATGAATGTCTGCAGCTAGAATCAATCTTTCTGGAGGAGGCTCTGGACCACCATGATCCCTGCATTAGTCCTACTACTAGGCCTAAGGACCCATAAGCCCCTGGCGTTCCCCTGGAGTCTGTTGAATCGGCTAAGTAACATACGCTGGCCTGTTGTGGTTTGAGATGAAGAGCGAAACCCTAATTCCCGACTCCTTTCAGAGACCAGTGTTGCGACTTCCGTTTGGGGATGTTTGTCAGCTGCCGCTATGTTTCTTCTTCCATGATACTATACCCTGGGTTGGTACAGTGCGTGCTATGGAGGCTCGGGGCTCCCGATGAACCTTTGCAACTACAACCAGCCATTTTCACAAGGCTCCGGACCGCCGTAACTCGTGTATGACCTCTCCCAGCACCTCACCAGGCCACCTCTCCGATGCTGACGACGAAGGCCGGGGAGGGTCGCCTGGGAAGAGTAATCCGGTCTAGGTCCAGGTTCCTCCCGCGCTGGCTCTCCACCCCCAACCCGACTCCGAAATGCTTCGTGATGCAGTGTAAGGTCTGTTGTTCTGCATAGATCGAAGTCAAATCGCAGGCTTCTGTGGTCTCACTTGATCTTGCGAACTCCCACGAACCAGTTGTATGTGTGTATGTGTGTGTGTGTGTGTGTGTGTGTGTGTGTGTGTGTGCTAAAGAGACAACGCATTGCACGAAGCGTGCATTTATGAAGCACATGGATCCGTCAACGGAGCAGGAGTGCACCATGAAGTTGTGAGGTACCGTGGGCGTCTCAGGCCGATTGACAATCGAAGGCTGCCGAGCGAGAACTATGATGGGCGAACCGTCAACGGCAACTTCAAGTGCTCGCATTGGTACATTGGTGCGGCGGAAGCGTAGTGATTCCCAATGCCTCGGTGTTCTCCTCCTGGCCGCGACGTCCTGTGAGCAGACAAAGGCTCATCGAGACGCAGGAGCTCCTCGATTGCGTGGCACGTTAAATACTTTGCGGCATCTGGCGGGTTTCCTGGTGAAGTAAGGTGTTTCACTTCGGAACGGTGTCTTTCCAAATCCCTAATGACTGCACTGCCTTTCGCTGCTGGAATCCCGGCGCCACGGATCGCGCAGCAGCTCAGCGAGGTGGACCCGTTTGTGGTATAGGATAGATCTTAAATCCCCAATCATCCTTTGAGAGACCCGTGTTGTGACTGCCGCTTGGGAATGTTTGCCAGATGCCGCCGGGTTTCTTCTTCTGAGATAGTATACCTTGGGTTGATACACAGGGTGTCACCGAAGCCTGGGGCTCTCGATGAATGTCTGCAGCTAGAATCAATCTTTCTGGAGGAGGCTCTGGACCACCATGATCCCTGCATTAGTCCTACTACTAGGCCTAAGGACCCATAAGCCCCTGGCGTTCCCCTGGAGTCTGTTGAATCGGCTAAGTAACATACGCTGGCCTGTTGTGGTTTGAGATGAAGAGCGAAACCCTAATTCCCGACTCCTTTCAGAGACCAGTGTTGCGGCTTCCGTTTGGGGATGTTTGTCAGCTGCCGCTATGTTTCTTCTTCCATGATACTATACCCCTATACCCTGGCTTGGTATAATGCGTGCTATGGAGGCTCGGGGCTCCCGACGAACCTTTGCAACTACAATCAGCCATTTTCACGAGGCTCCGGACCACCGTAATCCCTGGGATGACCTCTCCCGGCACCTCCTCAGGCCGCCTCTCCGATGCCGGTCTTTGGGACGTTGCTTGCTTGCTTCGACGCTGTCTTGCGAAAGAGCAAGCAAGCAACGACCCAAACACGAGAAGAATGTGCGTGTGTGTAAAAAAAGCCAAGTCTTCAGGAAGATTTTAAGATGTGCCATGGCTGATCAGAGACCAGTCAGTCACCTGTGACTCTGTCCTCATTCGCAGCTCTATTATTGTGAAGTCAGTGAAGCTTCTTGCAATAACGCCATTTTCCGCAGCTGGTGTTTCCGCTGGTACAATGAGGACGATGTGAGGCGTTCCACCCTTCATAACTTGAGAGGCAGGAATGCCAAGGACGAGTGGCCAGTTCTTGGCCAGGCACATTTCCATATATATATATATATATATATATATATATATATATATTTATATGTATAGTATCCATATATTATGCATTTGCCAATCCCTCTGACAAGTTGCCACTTGACCTGTTGAGTCAGGCTCTGAGCCCTCACGCTAGGCGGATCTTGATTAAGCGTTCCCACACACAGGGCATAGAGTGAACTACATCGAGTCAAGTGTATGGTACAAAGATGACTCCACGACTCCGTGACTCTATCTCACTACAACTCTATGACTTTATGACTCATGACCCATGGACTCTATGACTCTTGATTCTGTGACTTTACGATCCTATACACTGACTCTATCTCACTACGACTCTATGACGCTATGTCACTGCAACTCTATGACTTTATGACTCATGACTCATGGACTCTATGACTCTTGATTCTGTGACTTTACGATCCTATACACTGGATCTATCACATAGCCCCACACTCTTCGCTGATGATGCTTTCGGGCCAATTGTCTTCTAGTTTTCGTAGGATCCATACAGCAGTGCATTCTTAATCCAGCTCCCGCCGTATGCCCTATACATTAAATCGAAAGCTCCAGAACCGTATAAATACATGGACACACGTAGGCATATACATACATATATACATACACATATGTATGTATTATGTACTTTTGTTGATTATAGCTTATGTCTTAGCGTGATTCCCCGGGAAGATCTCTACATGCTTGAGGTTAAGGGGTTTCGGAGTTTGGTGTAGTTCGAAATCCTGCTCCGCCGCAGTGTCGTGATCCTGCCAGAGTGCGTGCAGATTTGGGTGCGACTCATGTTGCCACCTCCGAAAATCGCGCTCTTTGCCACAGTCACATGGGTAGTTGTCAAAATTAGGGTCCCTTTTTTGGGTACCCTAAAAAATAGGTGCCGTATTACAATAAGGACCCAAAAAGGGACCATGATTTTGACAACCACCCACATACGTTTCATCTTCCGGCCGGATGTCTCTCGGCTAATGCTGTGGGAATTTTGGTCCAAGGGTAAAAGGAGGGACCCTTAATAAGGACCCCTGCGTATATACCCTTAATAGAGCTATTATATACCCATTATATAGCCCATTATAGGGTAGGGGTCCTCATTAGGGGTCCCGCCTTTTCCCCTTTGATTTGGGTGCCAACTGAACTTCCGCCGGCTCTTGGGTATGATGGGCTTGGACATCTACAGTAGGTGGTTTTTATTGCTTGGCGCCGACTGCGGGTCTCTAGTAAACCAAAGCAATGGCTTAGAGTTTAGGTAGGGCATGCGGTTCGGACAAGCTGAAGGTTTATATAATACAGGTTTAGGACTTTAGGGTGCAACATAATCGTCCACAATTGGAGTCGGGTGTCGGGGTATGTTATAGTGTAAACATGTCAAGGACTTCAAGGAAGAGTAAAAGAACAAAGATTCACGCCCGCCTCCTAGGGTTTACTGTAGGGTTACGCCCCGAGAGTGATGTTGGATGCCCTTCCAAGCGCGACCCAGCATCCTGGAAAATGGGGATGCTATGAACTTCGCAAAGAGAATGGCGCCGAAACAAAGGAGACATTTCGACTCATCTGCTGGCGCCAGACTCGCCAAGAAGGCACAAAGGAAAAGGATGTAGCCAGCTTGCCAGAGAAAGGAAAGGAGCCAAAAGAGAGCGTCAGCAACCAGCCACTCTTTCAACTTCCTCCTGACCTTGAATTCGTCACCAGCGCCCTCAGCAAAATACCGGGATCCGAGCTGTCGGAAGAAGAGCCGGGGAAGTGAGTTCAGAGCCATGGACACAGCTGCAATGAGCAAGAGCCGAAGCGTGTCATCCTCGACGGGGCAGTCGAAGTCGCTGGTGACATCCAGGACCCCCGTCACGGAGATAAACAGTGAAGACCTGAAAGGCAGTGGCTACCTAGGGAATCCCAAGCTCTCCTTTCTGAGGGGTCGGTATGGCGGTTCTATAAAGGGTATCCATATCGCAAGCCTAACATGACAGGGGTAACTAATACTGGCTCTTCTCACTTCTACTTGTTGACTGCTTTGTCTCACCCTGTATAGACACTGCCGCGGCTGCTATTACGAAAGGTTCGGTGTTCGCCGCCCATGACGAACTTGCTTTATGGACGAAACCCTCGCGGCGAACCAATCCTGGAACAGTCCTTGCCGGAAAGGTCCAAGTGACATCGCCAAAGAACCCAAAAGAAAGTGTGAGAAGATCATCGCACGCTTCGCCGAAGTCAGGTGCACCGACACCTCCGATTTGGGAGTCAGAGGTGTTGGGGTCAGGGATGGCTCGCGGGGCTACCGTCAAGATCCCCTTCAAAGCCCCGAACCCATTCCTCGAGTTGTGATGAACCCCTTTCAGGGTCAGGCTTCAAAATGCTTGAATTCCAACTCAATTCCTAGAACATGTCCTCAGGCGTAGACTCGCCGGCTCCCACACACAAATCAACATCCTTTGCCTGGCCTTGAAAACCTCCCACATGCAGGTCCTAGCCGTCCTAACCTAACTGCCCTTCAACCCCATACTCTCACCGAAGCTTGTCTGAATTGTGTGACTTCCCCTGCTTCCATATACTTGAGGAAGTCTACATACGATAGAAACACACACAAACCCTCCGACGAACACCCGGATTCCCCGAACCCTCGCACCGGGAAAATGCCCAGGAAGGGATGGCAGGCAGCGAAGGAGACGAGGGCGCGTCGCCAGCGCCGACGGCCCCAGGCAGCATAAAGCCGTGGAAGCTCCTGTCTGGCCATGGAACACTCAGCTCGCTGGAAAACTAGCGTGCCACTATTTTTGTAGCTTCCGCTGGTCATGAAGTCGTCGCCGTCTGCGGCATAATCTCTCACTACGACTACATCGAAGCACCGGAGACACGGTGTGATCACCAAGAAAGTTAAGCGTGACAGGTGCAGCCAAAGGCACGCCTGTAAATCCGAAACTGCCATTTAAAACCTATAAGCCCCTCCCTCTTAACCCCAAACCCTCCTCATCGAGATTCGCGGTCCATTTCGCCAGCAGCTTCGACTTTGCCAAGACTAAGCCTCGGTACTCGGACCCAGCTTTGATTGAATAAGGCGTCTGATGCTATAAACATATATCAAGTATGATATGCCGTGATTAAGTTTACTGGATATACTGTACTAAACAAGGTTTACTAGGACCCCCACAAGTATCCTTTAAGGAAGCCCTTATGGTTGCTAACAAAAGGTACAAGAGTATTTTGGTGCATAATGTAGGGTAGTCGGGGCGTCTAGGTCGGCCCGAGGCTTGTGGCCACCTCTTGGCTCAAAGCCTGTGGAGTTTCAAGAAGAACATGCGGCGAAGTTACCTGGACCCAAAAAGGCTGTAGAATAATTGCCCTTACTAGGTTTTGGGCAATTATTTCACCTACTTTGGGGGTTTTAGGAAATGCAAACCCCAGACACGAAGACCCCTATACAGGACCTACATAGTTTAGAACGGGGCTTCGGGGGGTAGTATTATGTTATATTATACTCTACGTACAACCCGGAGCCCGACGAGATACTATAGGCAATCACACCCACAAGCCCTCGAGCCGAGATGCTCCCCTGTACCCAGCCCTGTCCATTCCACACATGGGTCTGCAAGGAATGCCTGATACAGGGAAGCGGAAAGAAGTGCCCTCTATCGTCGATTCCTGCCCTGTAGGTCACTGTAGGAGCGACATTCCGAGCTTGAAATTCAATGTAGGGGCCTTATTTGAATGGTGTTTCGGGGTATTTCATCTTCTTGCGAAAAGTAAAAACACCCTATGGAACAGCATTCCACCTATTGAAGCCCCTTAAGCTTCCCAAAGATGCACCAGCCGAGATGCTCGTCCACCCAGAGCAGCAGAGCAAGCGACTGCAACGTTCCTCTTACCATGACCCGGATGCCCGTTCTCCGCGCCCAAGTCCGAGGCTGAAGAGAACCAAGCATTCTTCCGATCTGCTGCTGCAGTCCCGGGGAATCTGCGGCTTCTTTGCTCTCCGATTGTTGCGGTGCTTTCCCTGCATGGCTTGACTTGCCCGGGCATCTGCAGAGGCTTGGGCAGCAGGACACCCGAGATGGTGGGATAGCTGTAAGCAAATTCGACTGGCGCCACACGTCCCGCAAACGTGCTCTCCTGTCGGCCAGAATTGCAGCCAGCAAGATCACCACGCAGCAGCCCAAAGTGCAAAGAACGAGCACAGAAGGCGCACGAGTGGGCCAACTGCTCTCCAGCAGTCTGGGCAGCAGCTGCGATGATAGCACCTCGATGTTCGTGCAGGCCACTGCAAGCTCAAGAATCGCTGCGAAGATGGTCAGGTGTGTCGTTGCACACCAGAAACCCGGAAGGTACTCGTCTCCCATGGCTGCAGCAAGTTCTTCTGGCAGTGCCGGTCTTACTCCTTCCATGGACCAGCCGGACTCCGTGAGGAACGCACACAAGCTGTTGTTCCCGTTCAAAGTTGGAGCCACTCGGATATAGATTGGCTGCTGCATGCTGACATTTATCGGCCAGTGCTGTCCCCCGGGGAAGACAACAGACACGTCGACGGCATCGGCCAGCAACTGTGCTCGCCTCCCCGACACGAGCCTGACAACCTCCCCTTCTTGCAGAACCTCAGGGCCATGATACGCCGAGAAATGGGAGTTTCCGAAAATAGGGGGGCCCTAATATAGTACCCTAAATTTTAGGATCCTTATTGTAAGGACCCCAAAATAAGGTACCCCCTATTTTCGCAAACTTCCGAATTAACACTCTCAAAGGTGCTTGCTCTATGGGCCTTGAGGTACCGGGTTACACCGGTCTCAAGTTACTACTTGTAGCCAAGGGACCTCCTCGAAGTCGGAAAATGACAAGAACAGATCATCTGCAGAGTGGTTCACAAGCGGAAATGGGAAAGCTGCCAGCAAGCTCTTATCGAGTTGTCCGACAACGTACCTATACTGAACTTAGAACCCTAGCAACAATTATGATTTTAGCTGTTTCTTAGGGATTATAATCACCAAAAATTAAAAATTATTTCTAAGTACCCCTAAGGTACCTCGGCGTAGCAGGCACTAAGCCCTCCACGCTGAAGGACGAAGCGCTGGTTCGGCCCAGACCTGGCAGTTTCCGAAGATAGGGGGACCCTGGTAGGGTTCCTTTAAAGGGTACTATAAGGGCTCCTTGAAGGCATCTATAGGGGTTCAATTAAGGCTTTAGGGTTTAGGGTTTGGGAGTTTCCGAAGATAGGGGGACCCCTGATATACCTAGAGTCTCCATTGTAGTTCCTCTTATTGGTTTAACCAAATATATAGTTGGCATCCTATAAGGTAACCCCAAAAAGGAACTACAATTGGGATACTACCCTTATAGTAACCCTTGTAGTAGCCCTTATGGTAACCCTTATAGTAACCCTTTTAGTACCCTTGTAGTAGCCCTTATAGTACCCCTTATAGTACCCTTATAGTAACCCTTGTAGTAACCCTCTTTTTGATCCCTTAAAGGGAGTTTCCGAAAATAGGGGGACCCTGATATAATGCCCTAGATAGTAGGATCCTTATTGTAAGGACCCCAAAAGGAGGTGCCTAATTTTCGGAAACTCCCACCTGGCACGGTGACCAGGGCTCCGATGTGCTGGAGGCTGGCATCTAGGAGGACTTCTGCTGCATCTGCCAACGCCTGATCCTGCGTATTCTCCACGAAAAATGTGACGTTCGCCTGGCTGCTTGTAGTCACGGTGCTGGAGGCTGTCATGCTGATGGAGGACGAGGACGACGAACTTGTGAAAGACCTCGTCGACGATGAGGTATCGGTGCTAGTCGTTAATGTGCTAACTGTGGAAGAACTAGTCAATGTTCTTGTCGATGACGATGTGCTAAGCGACGACGAACTTGTCAGTGATCTGGTGGTTGACGACGTGCTGCTTGAGGCAGTCGAGGATGTACTCACCGTAGACGACGAACTCGTAGAGGATCTCGTCGCTGAGGACGAACTCGTGGACGATGTGCTCATCGTTGCCGACGTAGTTGAAGTCAGCGTATGTGTGCTAGAGGTACTGGATGTTATTGTCATCCACGGGTCCGCTGCACAGGCCTCGAGGTCAGCTGCATCAATCGCTTCCGTATATAAGACCACATTTCGTATCGCCCCCTTGCCGTCAAAGCTAGTTGGATTATTGTGCGCCCGTCCGATCTCCACGTTGTGAGTCGCTTGGCCTTTGAAGTTTCCTGAGGTACTCCTGGTGCCCACCAATGCACCGTCCACATAAAGACGCTGTGTTTGGCTGCTCGCGTCATAGACTGCAGAAACTGTCGCCCAGGTCTCGGCTGGAAAAGCATAGTTGGCATCAAGATCGTTGGAGTAAAACCCGAGTTTCAATTTCGTGTTCGTCAAACACAAGTGCAAATGTCCGCTATTGACAAACGGCCACGTCTGGCCGCTCCCGAGCCAACATGTCCAGCCGCCTGGGACGGGCTCAAACACATACAAGCTTGCGATCATCGTAAAAGAGGTATCCGCAAAGTCTGTGCTTGGGACTTTGGTGTCGACTGGGAATCCCCCCGACAACGTGCCGTAGTCAGAATACACCATCGAATCTGTATGTGGGCATTGCGACAACAGGCTGTCATCCCACCCTGGTCCTCCCCCCTTCGCAGTCGAACTTCGGAAGCAGGCAGCGGTGATCATCAAATACACCCAGCAGCAAACCATGATGCCAAGGCAGATGTGGAAAACGCTTAATGCCACCGTCTCTGTGAGCACTCACATTGCTTTATTATATGGGCCTTACTCATTAGAACAGGGTATTAAGGAACCCCACACAAGTATTGGCAATTATTAAAGCCCCTATAGCACTTCTTCCCACTGGATTCAGTAGAGAACCCCGTGACAGCATCTTCAAGTGCCTTAAGCCTTAAGCAGAATTGGCAGCAAAGGGCACCACAACTGGCATCTTCGGCAGGGCAAGAGACAGGGGGACTACTTCGTGGAACCGAGTGCATCTTGTAAAGAACGCCTGCCGAAACGCACGTTTGACAGAAGGACCAACAGAGCATGTAGCTGTCGCTGTGGTTTTCACACTTGTCGAAAGCCCCTCCGGCAACAGCCATGAACAGCCTTGAGTCCACAACGATACTTCAAGAGCATGGGGGAACGGAAACAACGGCCTTTTGTTTCTGTCCAAACAACTTTCTTTCTGCAGATCCTGTGCTGAGGATGAAACACACCGGGGGGACCTTTCCTCGCATTTCAGTTGTTTGAGCCACAATACGGGCCATAAATTTCCTCGGCGAGATTCAGAGATGAGACCCGAGATAAGACCCCTACATACCGGACCCCAAATCAGAGGTATCCTGTACAACCATCTATAATGGCCCTCAAAGTCCTCAAGCAACACACCCCTAGTAATGCAACATGTTCCCATATCAGACCTTCTCAGATCCTCATATAGAATCGTTGAACAACCTGTTAAACAAAACCTCCAACCCCAATACGCAGCCCTCCCCCCCACCCCCGTAGATCATCTTGAGCCCAACACCGTCTGGCAGCTCATCGGGCCCGTCCTTGAGTTCGGAAGGGGCACGCGTACAAAAGACAAAGAGAGAGTGCCTTAGCTTTGGGAGTTTTACCGGTCGAGGCGGAAGTCTCTGTAGTCGCCCAGCAGGCGCACTGCATGTTCTTCTGCAAATCTTACCTTTGGTTGGTAGGGAATGGAAGCATGGTAGTAATGGTAGTTATAATTGATTCTACATTCCCTACTAACCAAAGGTAAGACATGTGTCTATGTCCTTCCAAGATAGCAGCGACCTAAATAAAACACTGGTCGGGTGGTCGGGTCAGGTTTCCTCTGGTCCCAAGTGACCTTACATGTCAAAGGTCAGAGACCGTACTATAGGGGCCTGAACTTAGGCCTAAATAACTACCAATCCTATTTTGGGGATTCCTTATTAAACTTATAGTGCAATATACCCCCAAACCCTACTCTAGTTCTTGAGGCCCCTATATGACGGGAAGGTTTGGAGATGCCTGCCGAAGCTCTGGGACAAACTTCACAGCTTCAGGGTTCTGAGGTTGCGAGGAGCCTTGCAGATGGCAGCCCACTAAACCCTCAAGCTCAGACATGTCAGTTGGGTAGTTGTCAAAATTGGAGTGCCTTTTTGGGCAACCTAAATATTAGGTGCCGTATTATTATACTAAGGACCCAACAAGGGACCATAAATTTGACAACCACCTAGTTAGTCTCGGAATGCTTGACAACTTCTTCGGGCCCTGGGAAGCCGCAAACTGTATCGGGGCGGCCTGCATGGCTTAGAGTAAGGATTTGGGTAAATCAATACTGGATACTCTGGATCCCCCCATATTATTTCACCCAAGACTACAGACTGCTTTTTTGGGTTCCTGTTAAGGGGTTTAATTGGAATTACCATAAAAAGACAACGCACTACTTACTGTAATCCTATGACGGCAACTTATACCGTAAACCCCTGAACCCTGAAAATTAAACTTTTAACAAGAACCCAGTTCCCAAACACTGAGCCCGCGAATGGCAGGACGGGCTCCGGGCCGTATCCTCGGCCTCCATGCCCGCCTGCATTCCGATTTCTGGCGTCCCCTGAAAACTCCAATATCCCTTAACCAGATACCCGAAACTAGAGTAGGATCCCGAAAATGATTTGAGTGATAATCCTGAATTACGGGGATATTGGAGTCTCTGGGTCGCTGGCTTGGGCTTCTGAGGTCGGGAGACTGCACTCTGACATTTGTTGCGTTTTGCGTTCGGCTCTTTTCCGCCTTCCTACTTGTCGGGTATCATGGGGAGCTACAGGTTAGACTTTTTGGTTATATAGGGATTATATAGGGACTATACTACCCAAAAAAGGTTAAAGGTTACCTACTCGACTACTAAGAGCCCCTTATACAACCCCTATAGATCCCTTAGAGTTGCCCCTTAAGGATACCCTAAGCCCCAAAAAAGCCTTCCTGCAGTCGGAGTAGCATTATGGTTGAACCTTCTGGGCGCGGTTTCGGCTCTCAGACTCACGCCCGGTTTACAGTTTCTGGGTTCCTTTAAAAGGGTTACTATAAGGGTACTATAAGGGTTCCTTCAAGGGCTCTATACGGGTTTGGAGTTTCAGAAAAATTGGGGTACCTTATTTTTTTGGGTCCCTATAATAAAGATCCTACTATTTAGGGTACTATCTTAGGTTTCCCTTTTGTCGGAAACCCCCAGTTCAGTTCAGGGCAGGGTTCAGATGCATCGAAGTGATCGGGGGCCTTGGGCCTAGGACAGGATATGGGTAGTTGTCAAAATCATCGTCCCTTTTTGGGTACCCTAAAATGAGGTGCCGTATGATAACAGGGACCCAAAAAGGGACCCTAATTTTGAGAACCACCCATATAGGCGTATCTTCGGGTTTGGAGTTTAGAGCACGAGATCCTCGAGGGAGGGGGGACGCAGGGGATACCCAGAAATCCCAATACCCCTTAATTAAGGGATATACCTTCAATTATTAGAGGCCCCAAAAAAATCATGATTTGAGGTGTAGTGTATTCCTTATTTAAGGGGCATTGGGATCTCTGGATATATAAACAACCGAAGAGTCCCCAATACTTTCGAATACTGTCGGAGTCGAAGGTTCCCTTAGACTCCCCAAGCCCTCCATGCTTGAACCACCCACCTTTTAGGATCCGACAGAGGAACTAGGCTAGAATTCTTCCTTCAGCGTCCCTTTGCAACTTCCTTGAAAAAGCCCTCGAGAAGTAGGATAAAAATATTCCTTCAGAATCCTTTCGTAACTGCCTTAGGGGCCTGCATGGACTAACAGTGAAGACATCAACCCGCAACAGCAACCAAAGATCCATGCAGAATGATTGGAAGGCTGGCGTGTGGAGTTTAGCATGCACATCTGGCTAGTTGTTTGGGATTAGGGGCTCGTGTACGGGTTGTGCACCTCTCCGGACAGCAGTATAGTACCTCCAAAACAGACAAACAAACAAACGAAGCGATGCAGTTGTTCCTTTACGAAATCCTAACTGAACCAACACCGCAGCGTTTATGTGCGACCGAAGGGCTGGAAGAACAGCCTTTGCCTCTGTGTCCTGGCTCACATTCGAGATCCATTGCTTCTGCTGCGAGGCAATATGAGCGAACATTTCTATGATTGTTGTTGATATTTTGGTTATAAGTCATTGATGTTACAAATGAAACATGTTGTTTCTATCTCACAGCAGAGCCAGCCCAGTTGGCTCTCTTCTCATTGTGTCCTTGCTGGAAAGAAGAATAAGTGTGGTCAGCTCAGTAGCGCGACTTTGAAAAACTGCACTGACTGCCTGGACTCTTACTGTGCGCCAGCCCCCAGAGCTGAAATCCACGACATGGGGGTGTCCGAAAATAGGGGTACCTTGTTTGGGGGTCCTTATAGTAAGGATCCTATTATTTAGGGTACCATATCAGGGTCCCCTATTTTCGGAAACCCCCGCATGGATAGTACAGGACCCGGAACGTAGGATAGCAGCAGGAGAAGGTCTTGTAGACTCCTGAACTCCAGACAAAGCTTGCTCCAGTGGCCAAATCTTACGCTGCCACACGCGGCACGCCCCGGTTCAAGATTTTTAAACCAGACATCTACTCTCAGCAACCCCCTGGAAACTCGAGCAGCGGTGCCCAATGAACTTGAACCCCCCGAGTCCCACACTCAGAGAAAAGATTATATAAAGATCTAAACTTAGAAAATACAACATTTTAAAATACAACATAGAAAAGATCATAGAAAGAATGCCAGCGTAGAATATACAACATAGTAAAGGACACTATGTAATATAGTTCACTACTGAAGTGCAATATATGATATGTTTCATCCACCCCACCGGCATCCACCGGCCAGGCCCTGCAAGTGCCTCGCGGTGGCCACCTGGGCGGACGTCGGCTCTTCAGGCGAGGCATGTGGGTGGTTGTCAAAATTACGGTCCCTTTTTGGGTCCCTATTATAATACGGCACCTATTATTTAGGGTACCCAAAAAGGGACCTTAATTTTGACAACTACCCATGTGGAGTTTGTGTGCAAGGTCGGCTGCGGGTGTAGGTGTTTAAGGGCTTAGAGGTTGAGGGTTTAGGGGGGGTTGTGCCAAGGTTGCGTACGGCACCAGAAATTACTGAGATGCCAGAAACCCTAGAAGGGGACGCTATTGAGAATCAGCATGTGAACTGCATCGACAGAGGGGTCTACAGGTTGCAATCTCGATGAATCTTAAACCCTTTATTCCCAAACCCCAAATTCCCCAAACCCCTAATAACTGTAAGCCGCCCCATAGGACGTTCGCAGTAAAAGCCTGTGGCGCCCAGCCGTCGGAGCGTGGCGTCGGTAAAGCTCCAGAGTCTCGCCTCGCAACTGATTTCCGGCTCAAGGTTTGGGTTTCGGGATTAGGGTTTAGGCGCTTAGGGTTTAGGGTTGAACACATGCAAAGCAGACCAGGTTCCCTAAAAGGGCTTGACAGTAAGATCCCGTGGATCTGTATTCACACTTCTGTTCCGGCTCTAAGCCAAGCTCTCTGTGCATGTTCCCGAAGCCCGAGGCCTTAAATGCCATGCAAGCTTTTTAGATTTTCTACCTCGAAAGACTGCGCGGGCTCTGTGACAAAAGCTTTGAACCCTCAGCTTTGCAGTCTTGACATGATCACCTGACATCCGAATGGCCCTGGCATACTAAGATGA